GTAGTTGAAGTCCCCATTACTATTGTGATGTACTTCCTACATACCTTAGTTAGTTGACTAGCAAAAAGTTCATCTATTTCCTCTGTTTGGTTGGGTGGTCTGTAGTATACACCTATGACAATGTCATTTTTTCACCTTTTATATTGACCCAAATGCATTTAAGACAGTTTTATCATTGTTGTGCTCTATTTCTGTAGAGATGTAGTTATTTCTTATAGAGAGAGCAACTCCACTTCTTCTTTTATTTGGTCTGTTTCTTTTAAATAATTTAAATCCCTCTAGCTGTGTGTTCCATTTGTGGGTTCCATCCCACCACATTTCCTTAATGGCAACACTATTATATCTGCCCTCATTAACCTCAATTTCTAGTTCACCCTGTTTGCTGTTCATACTCTGTACATTGGTGTATAGACATTTGAGTTCTTTATGACTGGCTCTGTGTTTAATTTCTACATAAGCTGTGTGGTGCCTGAGTTCCCCTATTGTCTTACCACCTATTTGGCTAGTGCACTTTGTGTGGCACTCACTATTAGAGGCTTGATTTTGCTTGACAGCAAGGTTGGTATTCTTGTCCACACACACTGATAGCCCTATAATTTTTAGATTGCCAGGGACAGGGTTGTTCTGTATCAATTAACTCAGTGTCCTCGTTTTTTAATTTAAATTTTCCTCCAGAAAATCTGTGAATTTATAGCCAAGTAACTCAATCCCTTTATTTGAGGGATGCAAACCATCTCTTTTGTACATCTTTTCATTGGACCAGCTACAGACATCATGACTAACATATCCAAAGCCTTCCCCTTTACATCACTCATTTAGCCATATATTGAATTGTGCTATATGCTGGTCTTTTCTATTTTGCTCCTCATATACTAGTAAAACCTCTGAGAAAGTAAGCCTACAGCCTATTCTGCTAAGTTCCTTCCCCAAGCTCTGGAAATCTTTCTGCACAGAGAGTACATCTTTTTGGGACAGACCGTTAGTGCCAAGATGTACAATAGCCTCCACATCACAGTCCTTTCTGCCATTCTTAATTATTTTAGAAATATGCTTCTTGTCCCTACTGGCAGTAGCACCTGGAAGACACCTGACCTCTTTCAAAGCCTCTATGTCCTTTCCTAAATTTACATCCCTTATAATTGAATCACCTACCAGAAGGTAACTTCTCTTTTTGGATGTCTTTCTGTTTTTGCATGACTGATGTGTAATACCTGATTCACACTTCTCTTTGTGAAAATCCAGTTCTTCATCTTGGACCACAATCCCCTGCTTATGTGAGTTATCTTCACAAATACCTTTACCTGTCTCCTTAATGTTCCTATTAAGGTCAGCAAGGGCGCTATAACTGTTGTGACTGTTGTTGGGACACAGCAAAAGTTTTGTGTTTATGGTTCACAGCTCTCACCCTGCCAGATCCCACAGTTGTCCACACTGCCTTTCTCCTGCAGGATCTTTGTGATAGAGGGGGCTGATAGCACAGAGGCTTAATAGAGTAGAGGGGCTGAACTGGACACCTAATTTCTGCCTGACGAGCACAGATTACAAACTCTAGATAAATGATAAAATCTAGACTCTAGATAAATTATCTGTTCTTGTAGACTAGATGGATCATGCTGAGCATGTATGATATTAGCTATTAGGGTAACAAATCTTCAATTATTCATACAAGAGAAAAAATAACTGTTTTAACTGTTTTCTCTGAGTATGCATTCTGTCGTGTAACACTCTAGAGAGTATGCCCTCTCTAAGAGGAAAATATTTAAATTAATTATTTTATTAGTAAAATCAGTATATTTTCATTGTAGTTTTATTTCTGTCTGATAACACAATGAAAATGAATAAACTTGATTAATCAAGTTTGAAAAAATGAAAAAGAAAAAATATACCTTTTTTGTACATAAATACATATACACACACATATACATGCATGCAAACTAATAATGGGATGATACAGACTTCATATTTAGAGATATCTTTTTGTATCTTTCCAGAGATTCAAAGATCAAATTATACTGGATTCTGCCTTGCAAAAATTCAAGATCGAGTTAATCATCTTCTAGAAAATAATCAGTATTCTTTTATCAAAAAATATAATATTAAATTATATTAAAATTCAAATAATTTAATAAAAAGTGTTATAATGGATCTCATAAATTAAGGCTGAATTTTAAAAAAATGCAAGGATGATTGATTTCAGACTGAAATACTCTGATTTGAATTCAATGGCATGCCATGTTTTTTTAACATTCATACTATTAAATTCATTAGTTATCCATAGTGCTATTTCTGAATAAAACATCAATAGTCTTTTTATCTAAGTTTAAGGTTTGCAAAACTGATTATAAGTTTGGAGGAAAAAGAATTAAAATGTTATTTTCCTAATATTTTTTTTTCCCTTTCAGAATTTTTGATCAAGAAAAGAAATGTTCAATTAAACAACTATAATAGATTTTTACTTGGATTTTCTGATGTTTGAGAACTACTTTATAGCATTCCTTCTCATTTATTTATTTACAATAGTATACAAAATGAAGAAAAAATGATAATCATTGTAATAGAAGTCACTGCCTGTCAATCTTGAAAATGTTGTGCATTTTCCCTAAGTTGAATCAGTATTTTATCACCCATGTACTCTAGAAGCTCTTGCCTACAGTTAGAGAAGCTGGATTATGATGTTCTTTTTGGGGGGGGGGGTTCAACTCATGAATATTTGCATTAATAAGCATCAATATCAAAAAAGAAAATGTAATTTTAAGATGCATCAGTAAAAGGTTTATTTAGTTGTTAAATATATTTTCCACACATTTCTCTGTGGGGATTCTGTAGTCAGCTTATAACAATAAAACAGGAAAAAATGATTTAAAAATATAAAAATAACAATAGTAAAGGAATAAAACAAACAAAAAAAATAAACAATGGAAGTACAATATGAAATTAAAAGATTAGAGAAGGGGGAGCAGGGTCTGCAGGGGGAGGTGGGATCAACTAGTTAGTACAGCAGTTACCTCCATTGATGTAATGGGTCCTCAGGTCAACTGGCAGAGTCATGTCTTCAGGCCCTTGTAGAAGGATGGGGGAAGGGGCAAATTTAGCATTGCTAAATCTTGATAAAGACTACATTTATATACTTCTGCATTTGTTAACCCATGTCTTCAGTGTGATGTTCTGCTAGTAGGCTTTAAGTAAATTCAAGTAACCTGAAGCAAATTAAAAGAAGGACATCAGTAATGATCAGTGACTTGGAACTTAAGTCCTGCAAGAAAAGACTGAAGGAAATTATGTGTTTTAGTCTTAAGAAGAGGAGACAAGTGATTATTCTACAATTAGATTCTATAATTTTCAATAGAGAACTTTATCACAATCACTTACAGTTATTTCGGGTATGGAATAATGGATTTTAGCTGCATACAGACAGAACATGATCACCTAATTCTAGTTGGATATTTAAACAAGCTTTCTAAAAAATATGCAGAATTCCTGCCTCAGTCTTCCCACCAATGAATGAGAGTATCACCTGGCCTTCCCAGCTCCAACCTATACCTTTTCCAGCTTCATTGATGTTGAATTGCTCACCACTCCCACCTTGGAGCCTTGTCATGGTCCTTCTAATTAACTAAAATCTTTTTTTTAAACCACTAAATTTGTGGTTACTACAGAAAAAAACAGTAAGCATCAATCTCCAAAAGAAATTCATATATTCAAACCAAGGAAGGAAGGAAGGAAGGGTGTTTTTTTTATTATTATTATTTTAGAAGCCTCTGGTTGGGGCATTAATCTAGGAAAGCCAGAAATGGCTAGAAGCAAGGAACTTCCTTACTCTCTTACAATTTAGATTTCAATTTTAAACTTCAATGCTAGCTAATATAAGAAATAGCAAGCAATTTTAGGGACTGTAATTGGAGTGAAGGAAGAAATACGCCAGACTCCTAGTATGTAAGCCACAGCTTCTGATTGTAAGTGCCTGCAGACTAAAGCCTGGATAAGCCTAAAGGCTGCTCTGTCAAAAGGTCAAGTTTGAGGGTTGGAAAAGAAACTGAAGAATTATGGCAGATATCATAGGGCAAGGATTATTTGTCTGGAATATGGCTTAAGCTCCAGGATCCTTAGTAATATATATAGTATAAATGAAATTCAACATAAGAACCAGAAAGTCCTATCTGGACCAAAAGAAAAAAAAAACCCTTTCAAGGGCAAGTTGCTGCATGGTCAGAAAAAGAACATGTAGATAATTCTTCAGATAAAGGCAACTGTTGTTGAACTGATTCTTTCAGAAGCTTGGTCTCCAAGTTCAAGAAACTGAAAAGATCTTAACTAGAACAAATAGTCTATCCATCTAAAATTCTGATTTGAAATGATGAAGTTCCATTTAGACATTGGTAGCTGGTGAATTGATAAAATCAAGTGTTTGATGGTTCTTCAACTGGGATTTTTTTCAGTTTAATAAAAATATATTAAACAGGCTTCCCATCTTTACAAATACCTTTTCTGACTGGCAGTGAATGTAAGCAATGTTATGAAAATGTACCTTAGTTTTCATCTCTGGAGTTAATGGTGAGTTCTTTTTATCTTAAATATATTTTCCTACTTGTATTTTAGAAACTGATTCAAGCTTCAGAAAAACAAGGAGGTGATACTGTGTTATAATATGATTATATTTCCATTTGGTTATTTTGGCCCATCCTGTAACTAAATATATTTTCCAGAGTTGAACTAAAACTACTTTGGTTATGGTATGCAATAAATCTATTTTTTTTTATTTCTATAGTACACAATCTACAAAAGTGCTATTAAATTAGATTGAAAAGATCTAATCTGTAGAAAATATAGATAACAGTGTTGCTCTCTGTTAATTTACAACCCAGATATCATCATGCAGTCTGGGATCTTTTCAAAGGACTGACTCCCAGAGGTATAATGGAAAATAGGATTAATTCTACTTCTACTAGCTCCCCATTGCATAATTTATTATATTAAAGATGGTACACGATCAAGCATATTGGCATTACCAATCTTTTGAGGGAAAAATAGAGATAACATCCTTCCATAGCACCAAAATATAAAATGTAAGATTACCATTTCAGTTAATATAAAAGGCTATGGTACAGGAAAAGAATGAATGCAGAAGATACATTTACAGTATGTCAGGTTGTTATTTTTCTTTTGAAGAATCCTTGATAAATGTTAGTGTTTTAGAGTCAATTCAAACTTCATTCAAAAGCCCAAGAATTTTCCAAATTCTGTCATAATGTACATGTATTTCCAAGAAAATGCGAGATAAAATAATTCAAATTTTGTCAACTCTTTTTGTAATTTAATAGTTATAAGTCTCAATAGTTCCACGAGTTATGGAAAAATGCTTCTTTATTCTGTAATCTCTTATTTTCCTTTTTAAATATTGATATTTTATAAGTTTTTTCCAATTTCTTTTGAGCTACTCTAGTATTAGTTTCTATAGCTATATTTATAAATGACATTTGTTTTTCTTTATTTGCTAGTCTTATCTTTCTATGAATAATCTTCATTTGGGGTTATTTTCAGTGTGTTTTTTTTATTTTACATTTTTGTAGCATTTGTTGATAAATGTCCTTGTGATGCAAATATTAAGCCTTCTGTTTCCTTCTTGATATATCTAATCTGAAGCCATTGCCAAGTCATTTTCCTATTCCTCTTGCCTTTAATTTCTTTTCAGGTAGTAATTGTGTAGAGGTTTATCTGTCTATGTAATGCTTAATTTGCCATTGTAACCAGTTTTTCATGCCACCTTTTGATTCTGTAACATTCAAAATATTTTCCTTTCAGATATTTGGAATGTGATTCATGATCTATTGTCATAACTTTTGGATCTTCTGTTCTAAAGCATCTAGTTCCACTTTTGTCCAGTCAACAATATCTGCCATGCAATGTATTAGAATAATTAAGTATTGTTGGCTTTCATTATATAAACCTCTGCCTAAGATTTTATTTTTTTAAAAAATAATGCATGTTACATATTTACTGATTGTTTCTCTTTCACATGGCTATACAAATATTGTTTGTTTCTAAAATACCCAAACATTAAGAACTTTTGTCCATTTTCAGTGCTTTGATTTTACAGTCATTCCATAATTCAGTTTCATCTAAGTAACCATAGATAAAGGATACTTTATTAATTACTCCCAATATTACAAATGAATATGCACTAAATTCTTCCTGGAGCTATCAGTTATAAAAAATATTTCATTTGTTTGTTTGTTTTTTAAATGTGGGTTTGTGATATAAGCTCTAGGAAGAAATTATACCATACACTCAAAAGTATATCCATTCACTTGAATGAAGCAAAAAATCTAATTGCTCTCAAATTATGCATGAATGTATGCATAATTAATGGTATTTATTTTTGTACTGTTAGTGAGAAATAAAAAAAAAAGAAAAGATTGAAAGAGGCTGAAAGAGATGTTTCTTTTTTGTTCAATCCATTCTGTACATCCTCGGGGTTTTTTGATTACTGTTAATTTGAATAGAGGGAGGAGAAGTTACAAAAGCAATAAGAGCAGTAAGAATAATATTAATTGAGCACTTTCTAAAAAATCAAAATCCATATAGTATGCTACATCATAGCACTTAATTTTTCAAACTTTTTGTCACTCCATTAAATATAATTATTATTCTGAAACTTATTTTATTTCACTCTTCTGTTTTCATTCCCTTATATTCTAAAGTAATAGATTGCCATTTCCATTGTAGAATTCAAAAAATCCTCCTTTATTCTGTGCTGTTTCAGATATATCTATTTCTCTTTCTGCAATCCAAAATAAATAATAGATTTTACTTCTATCACTGCAAAAGCAATCTGTTATTCTAAATTCCCCACCATCTATTTCATAGGGAGTATATTGAAATTTAGTAATTTAGAAGATTTGATATTTATATCTACTAACTATTTTCCTCTCTTTTTCTCAGACTGTCTCCAATAAATGAAAAACATGAAATGGCCAATGAATCTACTCTGATAGAATTCCTTCTGATGGGATTTTCTGACAACCATGATATCCAAATTATGTATTTTGTGATATTTCTCTTCATGTACGTAATAGCCATAATGGGGAATGTCCTTCTAGTTATTACTGTGGTCCTGAACTGCTCCCTTCATACCCCAATGTATTTCTTTTTAGTTAACTTGTCATTTTCAGATATTTGCTTCATCTCAACCACCATTCCAAAATCTATGCTCACTTCCCTAACAGATAACAGAGTGATCACCTTTGCTGGATGTGCCGCCCAAGTCTTCTTGATTTTCACCTTTGCAGGTTCTGAAATTGCTTTGCTCACCATCATGGCTTATGATCGTTATGTGGCTATTTGCCATCCTCTGCAGTATAGCCTTATCCTGAATTGCGATGCTTGTATGCAAATGGCAGCTTCTTCCTGGATTATCTGTATGATCCATGCTTTGCTAGAAACTGTAATTGTATTTCAGTGGGAATACTGCAGGTCACGTAAGATTGAACAATTGTTCTGTGATATCCCTCAATTACAGAAGATTTCTTGCACTGATACAAGAACTAGTCAAATACTGATTTTTGTGACAGCAATCATTGTTAGCTTAGTGTGTTGTGGTATTATTTTTGTTTCTTATGGCTACATCTTTTCAGGTGTGCTAAAGATTCAGTCAATACAAGGCAGACACAAAGCCTTCTCTACCTGCACTCCCCATCTGGTTGTCTTCTTTCTGTTTCTCAGTACTGCTTTATTTTCTTACATGACACCGAAAAGCCATTCATCTCATACAGTAGAATTGTTTTCTGCTGTTTTTTACACAGTTTTGCCACCACTATTGAATCCTATCATTTATAGCTTCAGGAATAAGAACATGAAAGAAGCCATGTTAAAAACAGCAGTGAAAGTATTTTCACTTTTTTAAAAAAGAAAAATTAATGTACTTATTTAAAATATATCTTGCGGTCACAACTACCTATGCAACTGTCTTGTGAAAGGTTTCCAATGATTTCCATTCCTCAATTGCAAGTTCTTACTTTCTCATTAATATTTCAAAATGTCCTTTGAACTTTTTATGCAGAGAAATTCATGGAGTGTATATGTTTGCAGGAGTGTTTTTTTTTTTTTTAGAAAGTTTGCTTCTGATCACATAATTGATATTCACATTCTCAATTGTTATGGATGTTTGTATGTAACTTACTGTTTTCACTTCTCTGTATTCTCTAATAAGTGGATAGGCAAATATATTTGATCATGAATGACAAACTGAATAAACTTTCTGGTTGTTTGTTGACTCAAAAAATCTGTGCATTGAAGATATTGATCTTATGATATTTCGATATATTTATATTGTTTATTAATGTACTCATTTTTAGTTGAAAGCATTTCACTTTGTTATCCAAACACATTTGTTTCCTAAGAAAATATAAATCAGAACTGCAATAAATTGAGAAACTTTTACTAATAAATTTCTTGTTTTCAAAGGGATTGGTACTAGATACTATGAACTTAGACCTCTCCTGCTCCAATCTAGCACTCATCTATAACCATACTTCCAAAATTAAGGAAAGGAGGAAGAGGAGAAGGAGAAGAAAATCGCTAGTGTTGTTAGCCTAACTGGATTTAAAAATCACTAGAAATTAGAATAGAGGCAGTTGATTGGGCAATTAGGCAGTCATAAAATTAAACTCACTTCAGATAATGCAACAGCTTGCTCAGGCATTGGATCCTTCCAGTCAGAATTTATCTTTGAGTGGATCCAAATAACTTTAACTGCTAGATAGAAATGCTCAAGTAAATCCTGTGGTTCATTCTTCTGCAGCAAGAACCAGATTATACTAAACAGGACTGCCAGGTAACTACATAATAAAGGTGAAAAAAATCAATAGTTTGCTGCCCATATCACTATAATAGAGTTCCTACTATGGGTTCTTATTTGTGCTAGTTTGGATCAATTCAACAGAAGTCCTGAAATCTCTTCTTGCACCAGGGAATGATGGCTTGCTTAACCTACATTTTTTAAAAAACAGTCCAAAATTGCTTTGGAACATTCTCATGGTTACTGTTTTCACCAAGCATGGAGTTCAAAGATAGATGTAAATCAGCAGCTCCATTTATAAGACTTTACCCTTACCCTATTATTTGGGTAAGGTCTTGTATCATGAGCAAAATACCAATATTTTCCAGTTAAAAATAATCAAGTTCCTGGAAAAAGATTGATTGCTTTGAACAAGTGCTTACTTAATACATTCTTGCTTTCCTGTAAAGAAAGCAACTAAAACACAAAACTTAACTAAAATAATTTCTATTCCCATAAAAAATCAAAGGAAAAACAATGAAAGCAAATTCAGAAAGGAAAAAAAGGATTCTTATCATGATTTATAAAATTGAAATAAAATTATTTGCTCCAGGAATTAATTATTTTGAGTTGTGCTGATTAAGCAGAATACTATTCTGAGACTGAAATGAAGACTTAGTCAGAAACTGCAGGATAGAAAAGTTTTGTAGAAAACATAGGTAATCAGTCCACTTATTTGGACATCATTATGCAATGATCTTCTCCAAGGACTGACTCCCAGAAGTATAATAGAAAACAGAGATAACATTATTTCAATTTGGATATTGAGGAGGAGAACATCGACAGGAATGGTTGACAGAAGGCAGGAGCGATATGTAGAGTAACAGGTTAGAGGGTTGGAGAAGGGGGGATCCTGTGGTGCCGAATCGGAGGGGGTGCCTTGCATTGAGTAGAGAGGAGGGATTGGAGAGTGTGTTGGTAATAACAGCGCAGAGAGGAGGAGGCGGTACAAGGATGACAGAGCAGAAAAATGCAAAGTTGGAGTGCAGGAAAGAGAGGGCAGAACAATTAAGGCAGTTACAGGCAATCAGGAAGAGTGGCCCTGTCACGCGGGCAATGAGCAGGCAGTTGGATTAGCAAGGGGATAAAAAGAACTTTCCCACCCCCCCAAGCCCCACTCTGAGGATGCTGGCAGAGGACCAGCAAAAGCTAAGTTGTTTTAACCTTGTATATAAGTGTTTTTATTGTTTTAAATACTGTTTTAACAATAAATAACTAGATTATACTCTTCCCAGAGATCGAAGATTGCATCATTGAACATATATATAAGAGCCGAGGTGGCACAGCAGTTAGAGTGCAGTACTGCAGGCCACTTTAGCTGACTGTGTTCAGCAGGTCAATGGTTCAAATCTCACCGGCTCAAGGTTGACTCAGCCTTCCATCCTTCCGAGGTAGGTAAAATGAGGACCCAGATTGTTGGGGGCAATGTAAATATATATATACATTGCTTACTGGTGTACACCGCTTAGAGAGTGCTTGCACTTAAAGCGGTATATAAGTCTCATAAATAAATAAATATAATGTGGGTGAAACAGCTAAGTGTTTAAGAACTCACCTACATGAGCATAAGCTAGCCATAAGAAGGGTGAACAGCATTCTCAGTTATGGATGCATATGGCACAACATGGCCACCAATTTGACTTTGTGAATGCACGCATTATGTCTAAGGATGCCACCAAAGGAGGCTGGCTACTGAAAGAGGCTTGGTACTCTAACAAAGACTCAATCAACCGTCACATTGACTTATATCCAGCGCAACAAGCATTGAGGAAATGGGATTCCAATTACCATTCTAACCATCATAAGTGGTCTGACCGATGCTCACATGGCTGCAATCATGACAAAGTACCTGAACGCCACCCTGAACAGGTACATGGAATCTTGGCTAACCCCCGATGAATTAAGAACTCCTCCGTAACACCTGACCAACGCCAATGTCATTTTGACGAACAACTGGAGAGTTTGCCGTTGTCAAGCACACATAATCACTCACCGATGGAGGACCCATGTCTTCCCCAATATCACCCCAATGGACCCCCACCTTTGAAGCATGATGATAGCAATGGAGAATTCGGGAGATCCACCAAGAGGATTTTGCGATCCGACGCTGTGCAAGATGGTGACAAGGATCGCACAATGAAAAAAGGGGGGAGAAGAAGAATGAGAGAATGGTACGGATGCCCGTGCACGCTGCAAAAGGGAGGAAGACAGTGCTTCATCCGGACCCACCACAGACAAAGAGCATTTCCACCAACAGCTTAGCCCCACCCTGGAACGAGTATTCCGAAACCGTTTTGAGTGAAAAGGACAATCAATAGCAACTAAGGATGGTGGATGCAGGAGGGGGGAGTGGGAGCATGGGGACTCGGATGTGTAATGCTTGCTTGAATACTATTCATAATGGCAACAACGAAGAACATGTAACATGGAGGGGTGAATATAGAGAGAGAGGTGGGGTAAACACTCATTTGTGCAGTAAACAGATAGAACAATGGAAAACGGTGGATATGGGGAATACCAGAATGAGGGATGAGGGCATGGGTGCCCAAACATACAATGCCCATACAAATGTCACCTGCAATAATAGGGGAGTGAGAAAAGAGGATATAGAACAGAGGGAAAATACCGCCCTGCAGTCAGAAGAAACACGGGGATACAACTGTGATCCCAGAGGGAGTTATAATATTGACAGAGGAGAATTAGATACCCCCAAAGTAGACAACGGAAAGGGGAACGAGATGAGAGTTAACGTTATGGGAGAAAAAAAGGATGAAAGGGTCTTGAAAGAGATGAGTGTTAGCAATAAAATGGTAGAAGGAATGATCCGGAAGAACGATAGAAGGAAATGCAAGGAGAGTAACAAAGAAACATCTGGAACACAAATTGACCGGCCAGGAACAGTGACGCGGTCCATGAGCCGGGTGCAAATGTCAGCCAAACCCATTTAAGTCATCGTTGTTTACTGGCTCTTTAGCCCTGATGATGTTTGGACCTTCCAAATGAAAGCTCGGCAGCTTTTAGTAAAGTATATTTTTATACCTATATTCTCCTGGTGGTCGCATTTTTATTTATTTTATATATATATATATTTTTTTACATTGAATGAACACCCTGTCAGCCCAAATATGGGAGAAAGAAATCTTCTTTCTTTTCTTTTCTTTTGCCTGTATCAGCTCAATCTAGAGCCATCCACAAGCAGCAGTCACTAACTGCGACATCAAAACCTATATATATATATATATATATATATATATATATATATATATATATATATGTGTGTGTGTGTGTGTGTGTGTGTGTGTGTGTGTGTGTGTGTGTGTTTGTGTGTGTGTGTGTTTGACTTCTAGCATCATAAGAACTTTACTAGAGCCACTGATTAGGTAATCAATAGTCTCGTTTTTCTCGTATAAGCTATATTGGAAGTTGTTTCCTATTCTTATTTTTTTATAGAATTTCTTGCTACTGTTTGTTCTTGTCTTGCAAACATTAAGCCTTTTCTTCCCTTCTTGATGGATCCAATTGAAAACCATTGCCTAATTTTGGTTCTTTATCCTGCCTTCAATTTCTTTCAGATGTCAAACATATCTATTTTCCATTTTTTATTGCAAACATTTGTTAACTTTTTCTCTTTGCTGAGGAAACATCTGACTTTTCACTCCATTGTCTGCAACAAACCACAACCACCATTTTTCTTGAAAAAATACAAACAGTTTTTGCTGCTTTGGGAATATAGTGCATGTTATACTTCCATAAATATTTATGTTTTTCATTGCAAGACATCTAGTTTCATCTGTATCCAAGTGTCAATATATACTGAATAATATTGCATGCATAATTTAAATATTAATGGCTTTAATTGTATTACCATCACTTACATTCAATTTGAAATATTATCTTTTTCAAATGGGCATATGGATATTTGCTTCTGAAATACCTCCAAACTTTCCTCAATTTTCAGTGTTGCAATTTTAGTGCCACTATACAATTCAATCACATGTAAATATTCAAATCTCCCTGTTTTTACTGCTAGTGTTGCAAATAATATCAATACTATGGAATTATCAGCAAGTTGACCTTATTTTAACTGTTTGATAGAGTAAGGAAAAAACACTAGCAATATTGATTCTACCTTCCAACATTAATGATAAGATTGTGTTTTTTTAATGTATATTTATAAAATAAAATACAAGAATTTATATCCATTTAAATAAATTAGATGGAAATTAATTAAACTTAGATTAGTTAGATATATGCAAGATATCTAAAATATTTTGTTTTAAATTTCTTTGTGAGAAACAGAAGGGAGAACAAGTGAGAAAGGATGAGTTGAAAGGTCCTGAAGGATAGTCTTAGAGGTTTCTTTCAGTTCATTCTATATGTCTTCAGTTATTATTATTATTATTATTATTATTATTATTATTATTATTATTATTATTATTATTATT